ATATGAGAAACTTGCCTGTTGTGATCTCGTGAATAATGTTTTCAAGCTAGATGAAAAGCACAAAGCCTGGAATGCAAATTTACAATCCTTATGATCCAACTGGAAGGTGTTTAGCTGGTGCTCTGAATTGTAAAACAGGGGATTTGTCCTTTTGGTTTGTAGATTGAACAGAGTGCAGGCATTGCCTGTGGCCTAGTGTTTCCTGAACACTACTACTACCAGTAGTACTTGCTGGTAAGCAGGTAAAAATCAGAACTTGAGCACTCCCTAGAGGCTGCACTGAAACAGCTGTGGAGTTTGGGCAATAGGACAGCAGTTTCTTAGCTCCAGGATGAGTGTTGGGAAGATGGTAATAATATGGCAAAAAGGCAAAGCCTGTAAATGCTATTAATACAGTTCCTGTAAGGACAACACTAATGTATGTGGATCCAGACCAAAACAAGGTATGGAAATCTCAATTGTTTCCATGGGAATTAGGTCAGTGCCTTTTCTCCCATGAGAAGGAACTGCAGATAACTTCTGAAGTGACACTCAGCCTGGCTTTTTCTTCACAATCAAGCAGTCTTTTCTCCAGCATCTTCAGAGTGTGTTTTCTTTTTCCTGCAGCCAAAAATGTACCCCTCCCTTGTTTCATAGACAAGAGTATTTTTTTGTCAGTATTCCAATTATTTTGAGCTGTATGATACAACTGCATTACCACTTTGCTCTTGTGGAAAATCTCTTTTTTCCAAAAAAGCTGGAAGAATGCTGTAGTTCCAGTCCACCCACCACCTGTTTGAATGGGATTACATTACAGCAGTCATCAATTAGTAATGTCCCTTGTCCTTGGTCCAGAAAATGCATAATGCTGTTCTGCACCAGAAAGCTGACAGACTTCATTAAGATCTGAAAACTGTTGTATAAGAGATTTTATGAAATAATTCCCAAACAGTTTGTAGAGATTCCCTGAATTGATACGTAAGCTTTTAAATTGCAAAAGCACTAATTAAAATAGGGGTTTGGGGGAGGTGAGGGTATGGGATGGAGGAAGGGATACAACAATAGTCAATTCAATTAGGATAAAAACCCTACTTGCTGCAGCTAGAATGAGATCTCTTTTCAAGAATAAACTGTATTCTAAGAATTGGGTTTCATATTTGTTTCTGCCCCAGCCTTGTAAGCATGGGCTGGTTAAATATTTTTTTTATTTATTTTTAAAATTTTGTTTTAGCTGCTGTGGCCAGTGGTGTTTGGGATGTGTCTCAACAGTGTTCCTGTTATTTATTTTAACACTGTTAAAATAAATAGCATTTGCCACTCACCTTAAAATTTACAGCTCTACATGGGAAGGAGAAGTGAACACATCAGCAGAAGTTTGGGGTTTTATACAATTACCTCTCTTTTGGATCTGTCTTCAATTGAGCAGATTAACTAGGAAATGAACTTTAAATTCTTCCTACGAGATGTTCCACAGTTGGTTGTTTTCTTTGCAGTGGCTCTCATAGCATGCTGATGCCTATTGTGTAAGACAAAAGTTCCTGCTACTACTTCTATCACCATGAAAATTCTTTATAAATCACATTTCCTCTCTGTGTTCTTTATCTCTGGTTGCTTGAGACACCACACCAGGACTTATGGTCTATATATTATAAAAATAAGTATTTCCCAGTACAATAAGTCAGACTGATGGTAGCAGGAACACTAGGAAATTTGCCTTTTAAAATTGATGTTTGTGCAGAGGGAGAACTTGATCGACATCAAGAAATGTCAGACATGATGCCTGTCAAGTTAGAAAATATGCAAGGTTTGCTCAAGAATGTGTGTACAGGAAAAATAGCCAGCCCTGTGGGATCAGGCATTGGCTCCAGCAGGTCTTCAATATGTGGAATAGTTGCAAGTGGACCTGAATCTCTTCTCATTAGTGAAGCCTGGGAGATCAGGAAGGCTGCATCACCTAGGCTCATTATCCCAGGGCACAAGAGGTTACACAGCCTCACAGAATACTTGTGCACTCCGCTTCCTCCACTGCTCCTGAGCTCCAGAGGCCATTTTGCTCATGGAGCCTGCTCACTCTGGGATTCTTGTGGCTGGTGGACACTTGCTTCGTGTTGGACAAGGCCGTGGTCAACTTGGCCAAGCACAAAGCTGTTTTCCAAATCCTCTGTCCCTGCCTGTTGTGTATTGCCAGCTTCTGTGGGGTTTGTTTGCCTGGGTTGGATTCCCTAATGCAGGAGGATGTGGGACGAGATGTAAGTCAGATGTAGCTGACTTACAGACATACCATACAGAAGAGAGATTTTCTGGTACTGAAGGGACAGATAGACTTTAGATGATGACTCACAGTCACCACACTGAGTTTCTCCAGCTGAGTAGATCTTGCTGGTGTTTTCCAGAACTCTGGCATTTCTCCCTACAGCCAAGCAAGCAGACTGTCCTGAGGATATCGCTACTGACAGTGTCAGGGTGTCCACCTACCTCATGTGCTGTAGGTACAGTGGGATGGGGCCCTCCCTGTCACTTTTACACAGCTCATTACTCCTTCAAGCAGTAGATGCTGCTCACAAACTGAAACCAAAGGACAAGAAAAGCATCCTTGTAAGGACTGGCAGCACCATACCTGGAAAATACCAGTATTACAGAGGTTTTGTCTGGTTACAATCAGTGCCTCACTCCTGCTTCCCTCAAGGTTTTCTTACTTTTTCCACTCCAGTAATCCAAACATTACCTTTTCTGTGAGCCACGTATGTCCTTCTTCATTCCCCTCTTTCTTCATTCTTCCTTCCCTGAGCATCTGCCAGACAGCCCCAGGCTGGGGAGCAATCTCCCCAAGTTCTGGGTGAGATGATTGGAAGCAAGTGATTTCTTCAATTCTATGAGCAGAATTTCCCTTTCGTGAATGTGCTATCTCCCTGAAGTCCTACTTCAAAGAAACTTCCCTCTTAAAGAGGCTCTTCTGGTGCCACACCTTGTGCCCCAATCAGCATCCAACCAGTTCCTGCAGCTTTTGACCCCTCTTCTCTTGTTCTCATTTCCCATGTTCCTGCTTCAGGAGGTCATGGTGAAAAAGAAGAAACCAATCAAGTTGTCCCTGCATAAACCTGGCTTGTGACGTTTTGAAACTGCTCCAACAACAGACGGTATGGCCAGGGGAGTGCAGAGTGGCAGGGCTGTGCTCAGCTGTGAGTACCTGGCAAGGACAAAATCCTTCAGGAGGAGCAGGTGCACTGCCTAACATTGCAGTCGTACATGCAGGGACTTTGTGCAGCTGTCAGAAACTCAGCCTTGTTTCTGTGCAAGTATTGCTGCTGTACAAACAGCTAAGGAATATGTTTATCACTCTGAAATTGTCTTTCTTTGCAGGATAGTGAAGTAATTCTACAAAATTTCCCCTAGCTCAAAGCAGCACCCACAATGATACTTGTCCCTTATCTGCCACTATGTCAGTCACCTGAGGACAGCCCCCAAGCCTCCTCTCTCTCCCTTCCACCAATGTGGCTGTCCTCCTCCAGGCACTTCAGCTGCAAGCTGTTCCTAGGAAATTCTCCAATTCACAAAATCGTGTGCAGCTCCCACAGATGTTGGCCAAAATCCTGTTGGGCAATCCTCTTCATGTCATGTGCTGCAAGTTAAAGGGCGGCTGTTTCATGGCCCGCAAAACACAGGGGTTTTTCCATAGTGGCTTCTAGACAAAGTCATGTGTACCCTGTGGCCTAAAAGGGACTCTGGCACAAAGCAGAAAGCACATCCATCTCACTGCACAGATGGGCTGTAAGTGTCTGCCTCTTGGGTAGCTTGTGATGCAGTTTAATAAAAGAAGAAAGGAACACAAGTGAAGAGTAAGCAGTGGAAAGTAATGAAAAACAAAAGCAGTGCAGTGTGACCTGAAGATACCTAAGCCTAGGACAGAAAGCACAGGTCTTACTTTGAATCCAAACTGAGGGGAAGAGTGGCTCTGGATATTGCGGGCCCCTCTGTGGCTCTTCCATTATGTGCAGGAGGTAGTACCAAGCAGAACATCATCCCAGCCCTCAGTGACAGTATGTCCTGACTGATGTCCGGTAACTTGCTGAGCAAGAGATGCATTTCAGCTTCACCTTCTCTCTTTTCTTGGCAGAATTCTTTCTCCCTTTAACCTGAGAGAGAGGGTATTAGTCCTCATTTATACATATTACTGCATATTTGTATAACCCTGGCTTTACATTCTGTGCCATACAGAATAGAAATACAGAACAATTTGACTGGGGACTTGGCACTAATAAATATGTAAAGGTGTGTAGAGAACAGATACCTGCTGTAAAGTGAATCAAATGAAGTTTTGTCTGTGTCATTTAGAACATCTAAGGCAGACTGTGCTCACTGTAACTCAGAAGTCCACTCACAGGAGAGGATGATAGGGTGCTAAAGCCTGAGCCACTTTGATACTTGGTGTTTGTTAGGTCACTGTACTGAGTTCTCCCTCTGGGGGTTTGATACAGAACTGAACCAGTGACATTTCTTCTGCCTGTTTGTATGTTTTGGCTTCTACTGCCCTTCCATGAATCTGCAGTCTGCTAGCTTTATCTGTTTGTGACATTCCAGGATTGTTTTCAGATTTTTGAACCCAGGAAAAAGGAAAACTGAAATGTGACAGAGGCACTGTGTAGAGATGGAAGGGACTAGGGGGTCCTCACTTCTTAAGAGGAAAACATATATAGTGGAATTTCTTGCAATGAAAAGCTTCCTATAATCATTGCAGCAGAAAGCCAATCTTTTAAAGATTTAAGAAAGGTTAAACAATTCTGCCAAAAAAATCACAACAAAGTTTTCCAAGTTTCCAAAATATGACGGAAAATATCCTTCGGGGTCAACAAGTCGAACTGCAAGCCCTTCCCAGGGCTGTGACCAGAAACACAGAAAGATGGGTCCATTCCAAGAGAGGCTGCTGGGATCCGAAGCAGCACGGAAGACGCCCCAGGCGAACTGCTGTGGCTTGGGGCGCGGCACTGTCGCGGAGCGGGTGGCAGCTGCTCAGCAGTGCTGCCATGGCTCAGGCACAGCTCAGCTCCTGGCTGCTCCTGTGTGTGTTTGCTGCATCCCAGAGGCTGACAGGTAGGGAGCACATCTGTTAGCGACACGGCTCCTTGGCTTGGCAGATCTTTGTGCAATGTCCTTTGTGTGATGCTTTGCTGCTCCTTCAAATGTGGATCGAGGCTTCAGGCAGCTGCACTGGCATGGGATAGAGCTGGAGGCCAGCTGGGGGGGTGGGCTGGTGGGGGCACTGCTACCTCCTTGCAGGTTGAAGATCTGCTGCTGTGTTTGGAGGCAAGGGGAGGATTTTCTTGGATCTCCACTGAAAAAATAATCTCCTGCAATACTGTTTGTGGGTTTTTTATATGCTTTTTGGGAAACAAAACCCCACCCAACCCTGTTGAGTGATAAAATAAGTAAGGATTTTCCCTTCCCCAGAGGATACTTATGTTATTATTTCAATGCATTATTTGTTATGCTTTGTTAAATTTTTCTCTACTCAAAAATATTTATGAGGCAGTTACTTCTAAAGGCAGTTTGGCACCTATTCAACAAAAGCACTGACTTTGCAGCCAGTCAGACATCTCTCAGGAGAGGGATCTGTGAGCCGAGAACATCGGTTACTAGTGACAGTACCACCAAAGAAATTTTCAGATGATATAATGCTTTCACCTTAGCTAAAAGCCTTGCTGGTACATCTGTGGAGGAGTAGGAAAAAGAAGCTACATCCCAGCTCACATTCCAAAGCGACAGCTGGCTTGGATCACAGAGCCTGCAGCTGTGCAGAGAAAGAAACCTCTGCAGCCTGCGGGCTGGCAGTGCACTTCTCCAGGCAGCTTGTGCATCTCCCTGAAAAGGTCTAATCAAAAATGGAGATTTGGAAGTGTCTTTTGGTAGCAGATATCACACATGTATAGTACTAAATAATTTTTCTACTTTTTATATGCACCTGCTGACTTTAACTCTGGAGTATTCAATGTAAATCCTCACTCTTTTTTTTTTAATATATATATGAAAAAGCCTTCATCCATTTAAAAATTGTTTTAAAACCCCATAACTATATTAGAGAGCTTACTATTTTATATGAGCTTTTCCATTTCATGTTTCTTAACCTGAAGGATGAGCCTGTAAGAAGTAGAAGAGGGTCTTGGCTACCTCATGACACTGATAACACAGAGGAGGGAGGGGATGCAGCCTCTCTCTCACAGTCCTGGACCAAGACTGCTTGTGTCTCCTTTTTCATACACTCACAAAAAAAGAAATAAAATAAATGCAGACAGTTAAAGTAAGTATTAGGAAATGAAAATCGAACAATTCTTAGGATTAATGTGACTTTCATCTTCAAAAACTGCTATTCCTCTGGCCTCATGTCCATTCTTCCCAGATTACATGATGTCATGCGTCCCAGCAAGTAATTAGCTGGACATCAAATCAGCCATAATGGATCTGACAAGGTTTCTTTTATCCTCACCCTCTTCCAGCAGCAGAAGCTTAGGGAAGAAGTAGAAAATCAGGATAAGCATCAGTTTGTGTTTCTAGCAGCAGCTTGAGGAGCCTGCCAGCACACTCCTTTCATTGAACAGCATTACTTTCCCCAGCAAAAACTGCTAACCAGCCAAACCCATAGTCTTAAATCCATTCTTGGTGTAAGAGGCATCCTTGCTGCCTGTCAAAGCAGTGCCTTTGCTGCTGTATGCTTTAGCTCTGCTGGCAGCACTAAGGACCGTGATATCCAAAACCACACCTCAACCACTGCTGCTTCTCTTAAAAAGCTTGTTTTGCTTATCAAAATCCCGTGGTCAGCATCTGTCATTATTTGGCAAGCTGAGTGGTAGCTCAGGAATGTTGAAGACGTTATTGACAATCAAATGGCAAAAACAGTAAACAGGAAGGTCTTGTGCTACCAAGCTCTGTCTGATGTCTTCCAGATGAACACCCTCACAGCGGCACCAACAGAGCCCGTCGTGGCCCAGAGGACGCTGGCATCATGTTAGAGGTCTCCTGAGCACTGGGGGCCCTGGGCCGAGGCACTGTTCGTGCCCATGCTCCCACCTGCCCGCACGTAAAAACTCACCCGTTCTGTTTGTTCTCATCCCTGACGGGTTTCAGGAGCTCCCGGAGAACGCCTCGGCGATGCCTAATGGCATTTGTGCTCCCTCCCACTGCGGGGTGCAGCCCCGGGCGGCCGTGCCCCACGCCATGGCCCTCACGGGGTGCCCGCGGTGGCACAAGGGGCCATCCCCGCTGGCTTTGGTGACGGCCCCGCAGGCGGCCAAGCCCCGCCCGATCGGCCGCACCGGGGAGCTGCTGCAGGCAGGACTGCGGGGGGACAGCAGGGCGGGAGGCAAGAGCTGCACTGGTCCCATGGGGAAACGAGGTGTGGGGCTGCTCAGACACGGGGCCTGGGGCTGGCAGAGAGGGACATGGAGTGGGACCAGGCCGGCCGTGAGGGAGAGGCCGCTTCTGGGCCCGCCCGAGGTTTGCCTGGCAGCGCTGCGGAGCGCTTTGCTCGCAGCGCGTCCGGGAGTGATGGAGTTGTGCTGGGCTTTCCATGACAGCGCGGCTCCTCTCTTCCAGATGCTCTGGGGAAGGCTGGATATTCAGGCCAACGGGACAATCCGGCTGCGGGATGAAGAGCTGGCCTCCCTACGCCCGGCACGGCGCTTCCTGCAGATTTTCGAGGAGGAAGTTCCCAAAACACCAGCAGAGATTGAGCAGCATCTGAGATATTATTCACTGACTGACACTCCCTTGCCTCCGACGGAGTTTGACCGTCTCCTTTTCACCAGTGTTTACAGTGCCTATCAGGTTCGCTCCGTGCAGGGTCTGGATAAAAACCCCTGGATTGGCTTTTTCTCTCAGCTGGTTGATGAAATCTTTCGTGACCTGTGCAAGGGGCTCTGCCCTGCAAATACCACTCTCCTCCAGGCTTCCTGGCCTTGGAAGGAGAAACCTTCACATTTAGCATCCCTGAAACATTTATATCGCTCTAACCTGGCCAGGACCAAGAGAGACACCTAATGAGGGAACCTCCGTAGCAAAGGGCACACCTGGCTTCAGTGGCCTCCTTGGTTATTTTCAATGCTTTCCACAGTGTGCAGGACTTTGAATAAATATGCCACACCTTTTTGTTCTGCTTTCTGCACAGTGCTGGCACCCTCTCAGGACTTATGCACAAGCTTTTATTTTTAAATGAAAAAAGGACAAAAGTGTAAAGAGCATTTCTCCCTTTTCTGATTTTTTGCTAAGTGGGCTGTGCTGAAGGGGCAGTGCTATTTAGATGTCTTATCTATCTTGATCACTGATGCTTAGGAGAGATGGCATGGAAGTATTTTTCCAGGATATTATGCTGGTTCAGCATTATCTTCATTTCAGATAATTCAGTTCACTCTCCTTATATTCTCCCTGTGGTTTCAGACAAATACAAGATCTTCTCTCCAGCAGCAACTAAGCAGGTTTTCTTGTGTTTCATGATATAGGTCACATATCTAATTTCATTTTTCTCTTCATGTGCCATCATATTTTATGTGTCAACAGCAATTTCCCATCTCATGTATTCATTTTCCTTTAAAAAGCAACCTGAAATTGTATGTATTCCATGAAGCTTTCTAGTATTTGCATATCATATTTACACATACACACAGCTTTGTTTCAGTTATCATTTTGGAATATACTTCCTGAAATCTCATTTAAATTCTGAAGGATCCTGACCTAGTTATTTCTTCAGCAGATTTTGCCTCTCTTCTATAAAGTTTTTTTTTATAGCCATGGCATTTTTCGAGCCAAACATAATAAATGCATAGTCTCTATCCTCAAAATCAGAAATGTAATTATTTTACAGAAAGACATCATTAACATTTGTCTGTTTTAAACACTGTGTTGTGGAATTAAATAAATGTAATTATCTCCTCAGGAGGGTTTTGATTTTGGTTCTTGTTTCCATCAGATTTCCTGCTACCACTATAGGTACATCAATTTTGAACATTCCTTGCATGTGCTTAGACAATGGGATCCATCATTCCCTTTCTATCAATATAATTTTTCCATGTTAGACAGAAGAGGCATGTACGACCTTCAAAGTGGGAACTGCAGCTTCTGACCTAGTTAATCTTATTCCAAGCCATTGTAGCCCAACAGATGGAGAGGAGAAACAGTAAGGCAGAAACAAGAAGCCTGGAAGCAAGATGCTGCAGACAATGGTTTTAGAGGTCAGTTTAGGGTTATGACAGAAGGGGATAGATTTAAAGCAGGTTTTTTGTTGCTGGATTTTTGTTTTGTTTGTTTAATTTTGGTTTGTGCTTTGGGGTTCTTTTTGTTTGTTTCTTTGTTTGTTTTTCACCCCAAAGGATATAGGAATTAAAATTAGAATTTTACTTGAAGTAAAACTTCTCATCTCATCTAAAGTTTTATTATTCTTACGCTAGTTTTTTACATGCTTTCAATCTTTACCCTTCACCCTTTTGCCAAATATGCCCCCAGTCTTTAATGTCTAGGATATGTATGGAGTGACAGAGGCAGTGAGTGGCTGCACTCAAGCCAATTTTGAGCAGAGTATCATCAAAAACCTGAGCTGAGATGGCACTAGTGCATGAAAATACTGTTTTGCTGGACAATGTACAGCCCGAGCCATAGGGATATATGGAACAAGGTTGAGTGGGTTGGCTTGTGACTCAGATGCTAACACACTACTTTGAACTCAGGATTTTGTTAGGAGCAGTTTTAGAGCATTGCTGCCTGTTGAACGGATTATAAAGTACACTGAAGTGATGCCATGAAGCTTTGTAGATGCTTAAGGTGATGCACTTTTGCAGTTTATGTATTTTGGGGATACAAACCAGGGTTTAGCTCAACTGAAACAGCACCAGTGGCGCTACGATGAAGCCTCCTGTGCTCCCACTACCTCCTCAGCAGATCCCGCCGGGCGCCCGCCCCTCTGTTTGTCGGACTGTAGGAACACAGCAGCGTCCTCTACAGCCACAGCAGCCTCTCCACAGGGAAAACTCTCGCTGGAACTCGGCACGTACGAAACCACTGGAGCATGGAGGCTGAAAACCTCCCCTGCGGTTCCTCTGACCTCGCCTGCAGGAGGCTTTCAGTGCAGCACGTGGCGGACTAGCAGCACCTTGTGTTCAAGGGGCTCATTCCTGGGGAAGGTATCGCCCCTGCGGTCAGCAGTGCCACTGCCGGTGTGGTACTACTCACACTTGGTGTTACGAGCCTGCTCCTGATCCAAATCTTTACAGATTTAAAAACACATTTCTTACTCTTCTTACTTACCTCGCTTCTGGGCTTTCAGAGCATGGTCCATTCACAGATTAGAGCCCCTATCTTTCACTACAAGAAGCCTGCACATCTGTTTGTTTCTAAATGTATTCTTTACATTAAACAGAAGCTGAGATTCTCAACCACATCTTCTTGACTTCATCTACATCAGATAAAGAAAAGCACAAACCACTGTCAAACTTGCAATAAAATCATAAGAGGTACCAACCGTTCACACACACAAATCATTAAAGAGTGTACACAGACAGACTGGCTCAGTAACATATCCTCAGCTCACACAATTACCACGCGTCTCTCTCACCTGAGCTCTGTACTGGCTGGTACCTCAGCCAGTGACAAGCACACAAGTCTCACAAATAGCAAAACTTCCAAACTGAGAACATTCTCATATTTTGTATTTTTATTACATTCATTTTCATTACATTTATTCCCTCCCTGGATAAACAAGGAAAGCCACCATACCCTTTGCTCTCTGGATGCTGGAGATCTGCAGTAACATGACTGCAGTAGTTCTCTGATCCTCAGCATCTCACTACAGTGCCCCCCCCACCCCAAAACTACCTCATGCTTTATGTTAAATCAAACACCAACACGGGACACACAGCTACAACCTGAAAGGCCTCTCTATGGATGAATGGCACACACAGCAGTGGCCCTGCAGACAGGGCACAAGCGTGCAGTGTAAGGAAAGCACTGGACACATGACAGCATGCTCAAAGTAGAGGATGATATTCAGAGACGCTATACCCAAGTTCATGGCACCTTGGCTCTTCTTATGCTCCTTTCACATCTTCATTTAATTGTTTGATCCTTGAGGTGAGCTGGCACCTGGCAGCCACTTTGGCTGAGCCTCTGAATAGATGAGGAAGCCTGTGAAGGTGATGTACTTGCCGTGGTTGCTGTAGGCACCATAGCCATCATGCTGATGGCTGTAAAGCCAAACGGTGTCCCCGTATTGCAGAGGCAGCATGATGCTCTGGCTCTGCATCTCCCGCCGCTTGGAGTGGTTGTCATCATAGATCATGGCCTGCACCTCATTGTGGTTCTTCATCAGCTTCACCGACATAGTCTTAAAGGGCATTTTGCCAATGGTGAAGGAGAAATAGTATGCACCAGGTATACGGCATGTGAAGATGCCAGTGGAGGCATTGAAATCTTTTCCAATATTCACAAACTCTGTATCAAATGTGATTGGCTCGTGCTGGGTTTGCTTCTCATCTGTCCCCAGGAGACTTTGTGAGCGGGCAACAGAAAACGCAGAGCGAGGGTCTTGTACCCTCTTTGGCTGGTCAGACAACACGCGTCGCTGTGAAGCTTCATTCTGCTCTCTGGGGAGCTGCTGAATTGTGTGAGGGTGTGGCCCGAGCTCTTGAGAGTCAAGAGCATTCTGGAAGAAGGCAGAAGTGTCTGGATAGATCAGGTAGCCATTGAAAGTTGTATAGGGCCCCACATTGCTGTAAAGAGCATACTTGGGATCTCCGTGTAAACGCAGCCACACTGTGTCCCCGTAGTCAAGCTGCAGCATGGCACTCTGGCTGGCCACCTTGCGTTCCTTGCGGTGATGTTCATCATACACAATTACCTGCACCTCATTCTTGTTTCTCATCAGCATGACAGACAAGTTTTTCTTTGGGTATTTCCCAACGGTGAAGGAAAAGTAGTAGGCTCCTGGGATCCGGCAGCGGAACAGTCCAGTCTTGGGGTCAAAATCATTGCCAATATTCACATACACTTTGTCAAAGGTAATCACCATCTCAGAGCTCCCTTCCATGCTGCTGGTTCTGGCCACAGAGAAAGCAGAGCGAAATTCAGTACTGGTGTCTGCTGGGAAGCCATCTGCAGGAAGAAAAATCATGCAGCAAAGGAGGCCAAAGATGATGTGAATGTTCAGTGTCATCATTGTATCTGGAAGAAAAAAAAAGCATATTTTAGCAGGAATAGCATTAATTTACAGCTCACAAATGAGTTGAAATCCAGACCTGAATATTGCTAAGTAAACATGAAGATCTATGTCCAAATAATGAGAAATTTCCAGTGTGTTCTCTGAGCAGTGTATGGGACCACACCGTAGTTCAGATCCCAGCACCACTTTTATATTTTCCTGGTAAGAGCTGGACCTTAACCTGTTCTTGTGGAAAGAAAAGCATCTTCTCCTTTGAAAGCCTGACTATCCTACAGTTTGACTGCAAAACACCATGTTGCTCACACTGCAGAGGGATCTCAGAGCCTGCTGGGGATTTGCCAGAGCTCCCTTTTGTTGTGCCTTTTTTTATTCATAGGACCAAGGATGAAACAAAGCCCTACACAAACCCTGTATTATACAATGGGGACACAGCTGGAGGGCAGGGAGAAGAGGACATATGCTCTAGAGATTCCCATGCAGATGCCATTGCCTCGCAGTGCAGTAGTTGTTTCACAGGATGTGGAAGCTGGAAGCCAAGTAAGCTGTTAGATCCCATTATTCCAACATGATTCTGTGAAAAGTATAAAGAAATATGAAGAAGAAAGAATATTTAGGGAAGGAAGACAATGGAGAAAATTGCTCAAATAATAAAAAAAAGAAGGAAAACAAAATGGTAAGTAAAGGAAAGTCTCCTAAAGAGTACAATTTCTGAGAGAGAACTGAAATACCAAAAATGGGGAAACAACTCCCTAAATGGATAACGGACTAGACATAAAAATTTCTTTGACCCCTAAAAAAGTTAGGAGCTAATAGGACTTTCTGCTAATTTTTTTTTTGGACTGAGGCCAAAAATTATCTGTTAGTGCTTTCAGGCTGGAAACAAAACTGCCAGTCATTCCAGTGAGAAGCTTCTCTTTCTGTCACCTCTCAGTGCTTATTAAAATATCATTCAGGCTAGGAGGCAACTGCCTGGTTTGCAGTCTGCTCCATCTGTCACCCCAAAACTGGTGCCTTGCCAACCTGAAAACAATGAATTCACAGACCACCAGAACAGAATGAAAACATGCAACTCATTGGGGGGGGAGGGTTGAAGACAAATCCTGCATTAAAAAGGATAAAGGGGTGAATATTTGAATCATCTGAGATGGCCTAGTAATAGAAGTAAAGCACACAGAATGCACTTGGACTGTGAGGTGACAGTGGGATCCGACTTTGGCAAGATGTGATACCTAGAATCACTCACCAGAAGGAATTCAACTTGAACCCTGCTCTCTGACACTTGAGAATAAAACTGAAATCTGAGGTGCAGCTTTAATACATAAGAACCCAAGAATAAATTAGATTCTCAATTACTTGAAAATGGCACACTAGCAAAGACTAAAAGAAATATCTGTCCATGTCCCAATTTTACCTTAGATCACTTCTCTCACAGACATCTGTGGCAGGGCTCTCAGCCTAAGCAGGCCTGTAAGTTTGTCAGTGAAGAGCTGAGCAAGGAGAGTTTGCTGTTCAGTGGAGCAAGGATGGGCTGCTGATCAGTGAAAAGAGTGAGCAAGGATAACTGAGTGATAACACTGAGCAAGGATAACTCTGCTGTTCTTAGTGCTGAAGAATGCTGAGACCAGCTTGACCAAACTCCCACCCCCACCACAAGGACACGCAAGACTGAGGCTCCCTGACCAAAGCTGGGAGCAGCAAGGATGTGCAGGTCCTGATTTGGAAGTTG